GTCTCGGATTGAGGGCGACAAAATCAAGTCCAGTTTAATCCTCAGAAGCCACATGTTTGCGCATTTACCGCTAAAAAGAACCCCTTTGTCGTATCTCCTCAGTTTCAAGGCACTCCCCTTGTTGCCTCAGCCAGTATCGGAATCCTCGGCGTCGACATATCGAGTGACGTGCAGTTTCGTGGTCACTTGGAAGGGAAGGCCAAATTAGCCTCTAAAAAGCTTGGCGTGCTCAGCAGAGCGAGGCAGTATTTCATGCCGGCACATCGCTTGCAACTTTACAAAGCGCAAGTTCGGCCCCACATGGAATACTGTTCTCATCTCTGGGCCGGGGCACCCCAGTGCCAGCTCCTTCCACTTGTTTCAGAAAAAATGTTTCCTTTCAATCAAAAATAATAACGCATTCGTTTTTTTAATATTGGTAGCACTGAGCACATTGAGCCGCCATTTTCCATTTTGTTTGTTTGAGTCAGTCAGTCAGTCAGTACGAATGCCAACGCCAGACGCCTTGTATGCGCTTTGTGTTCCCCAGTGTTCGTTTATTTCGCTGTTTTGAGTATTTGTTGTTCCTATTTTGGGGTTGTTTTTTTGTTTTGTTGTTACAATTTTATAGGTGGTAGAGCCACGCAGCAGTTTTTGCTGTTGCATGTATGGGCCGGCTCGAGCCGGGTTGGTACCACGACCTCACAGAATACCGGCGTGAAGTAGAAGCTTTGCTTCTGCGTTTCGTCTGGTGAGTGCAGGTGGCCGGAGGCCCAATTCCCCCCCCCCCCCCCCCCATTAACATGGTAGCGGAATTACACGAAGAACTACCCCAGGAGGGTACCAGCACCCCTGGAGAATCCCTCGCTGAGCATCCACGACCATGTTATTCCGATCCTGAGCGTGGGTGCTCAGGCTGCCCCGCGTATTCTGGGGGGGGCAAAATTCCGCTCAAAAGCATTACTGCTAGGGGCAAACTGAGCAAGAACACCAAGGCGACCCCTGCCACGCTATCCGTGAATTTCTGCAACATCAGGGGACTTCACTCTAACCTAAACGCCGTCCACTACCATCTCGAGACGGCGAAGCCGGCCTTGCTCTTTCTGACCGAGACGCAGGTTTCCTCTCCGGCTGATATTTCGTATCTCTCCTACCCGGGGTACAAATTGGAGCATTCCTTTGTGCCTCGGGCTGGAGTTTGCGTGTATGTCAGAGAGGACATCTGTTCTCGACGCCTCGGCAGTCTTGAAGGTTCGGACCTGTCCATCCTTTGGCTACGCGTAGACAGCGACGACCATCCGCGCGTCTACGGGTGCCTCTATAGGTCCCATAGCGGTAATGCCGAAACAGACCGACTCATCGACCACGTCCAAATGGCTACAGATTTCTTGCTACAACAGGTCCCATCCGCAGAGATCGTGATCCTTGGCGATTTTAACGCCCACCATGCCGAATGGCTCGGTTCACGTCTAACCGATCATGCGGTGAGATCTGTTTATGACTTTGCCTTGGCATATGGTCTGACACAACTGGTTACTTCGCCTACGCGGATTCCAGATGTGGAGGATCATACACCTTCCCTGTTGGACCTTCTGCTGACCTCTCATCCGGACGGATATCAGGTTTCCGTCGATGCCCCTCTCGGCTCTTCGGACCATTGTCTGATCCGGAGTGTGGTGCCACTCACGCTCCCTTCGCGGTTGCGTTCTGCAGGTTGCCGCCGTGTTTGGCATTACAGGTCGGCGGATTGGGACGGAATGCGGTCCTTCTTTGCATCCTACCCATGGGGGCGGGTTTGCTTCTCGCCGGATGATCCCAGCGCTGTTGCTGACTCTGTCACTGATGTGGTGCTACAGGGAATGGAATTATTTATTCCATCATCTGTGGTACCCATCGGAGGCAGATCTCAGCCTTGGTTTGGTCGCTCCTGTAAGACTGCATTACGCAGTAAGCAGGAGTGTTATCAAGCCTGGGCTGCGGCTTCGGCGACTCGGGATGTTAATACCAGCACACTTAAAAAGAAGTATAACTTCGCCTCTAGGTCCTTCAAAAGAGTTATTGCCAAGGCAAAGTCAGAGCACATGGGCAGAATTGGCGAGAAACTAGTTCGCCATCCTTCGGAAACCCGTGCATTCTGGTCTCTCGCCAAGGCTGTCCAAGGGAATTTCTGTAAGCCATCACTACCATCTCTGCACTGGGAGGATGACTCACTGGCCCATGACGCAAAAGACAAAGCCGACCTTTTAGGCTCCCTTTTTGCGGTCAACTCGACTCTTGATGACGGGGGGAAAACACCGCCGACCATCCCGCGGTGTGAGTGCTCCATGCCGGATGTGCTGTTCTCACAGCGCTCGGTTCGCAAAGCACTGCTCTCCCTGGACATCCAGAAGTCGAGTGGGCCTGACGGAATCCCCCCAATTGTGCTGAGGACGTGTGCTCCGGAGTTGGCACCGGTCCTAACGCGTCTTTTCCGGTACTCCTACTCCCAAGGCGTAGTCCCGAATTCATGGAAGACAGCTTTTGTCCACCCGATCCCTAAAAAAGGCGACCGCTCTGACCCATCCAACTATAGGCCTATCGCGATCACCTCCTTGCTCTCCAAAATAATGGAATCCATTATTAACTGCCAGCTCATCCGGTACCTTGAGGATCACTAGCTGATTAGTGACCGCCAATACGGTTTTCGTCATGGTCGATCAGCTGGTGATCTTCTGGTCTACCTGACCCATAGATGGGCGGAGGCAGTAGAGTCCAAGGGGGAGGCGTTGGCCGTTATTCTGGACATTGCGAAGGCCTTCGATCGGGTTTGGCACAAAGCGCTTCTTTCGAAGCTTCCTTCCTATGGGCTTCCCGAGAAATTGTGCAATTGGATCACCAGCTTCCTTGCAGATCGGAGCATCAAGGTCGTTGTAGACGGTGCATGCTCTGACTACAAGCCTATTAACGCTGGTGTTCCACAAGGCTGTGTGCTATCACCAACGCTGTTTCTTCTGCATATCAATGATATGTTGCTAACTGGTAACATTCATTGCTATGCGGATGACAGCACTGGTGATGCTCTATACACCGGCCGTGCCAATATTTCTCGGGAAAACGTCGCTGAGTACCGGAACAAACTTGTGTCTGAAGTCGAGTCTTTGCTGAACAAAGTCTCGGATTGGGGGCGACTAAATTTAGTCCAATTTAATCCTCAGAAGACACAAGTTTGCGCGTTTACCGCTAAAAAGAACCCCTTTGTCGTATCTCCTCAGTTTCAAGGCACTCCCCTTCTTGCCTCAGCCAGTATTGGTATCCTCGGAGTCGACATATCGAGTGACGTGCAGTTTCGTGGTCACTTGGAAGGGAAGGCCGAATTGGCCTCTAAAAAGCTTGGCGTGCTCAGCAGAGCGGGACAGTATTTCATGCCGGCACACCGCCTGCTACTTTACAAGGCGCAAGTTCGGCCTCACATGGAATACTGTTCCCATCTCTGGGCAGGGGCTCCCCAGTGCCAGCTCCTTCCACTTGACCGCATCCAACGCAGAGCGGCTCGAATTGTCGACGACCGAGCCCTTTCCGATCGGCTCGATTCATTGGCACTGCGAAGAGATGTTGCATCCCTTTGCATTTTCTTTCGCATCTACCATGGGGAGTGCTCTGAGGAATTGTTCGGATTAATCCCAGCCGCCAAATTTCACGAACGCACATCGCGGCAGAACTCCCGATACCATCCACACCATCTGGATGATTGGCGGTCCACCACTGTGCGATTTAGAAGATGTTTTCTTCCTCGCACGACCTCCTTGTGGAATCGATTACCATCAGCGATTTTTCCGGACCGATACGACTTAGGGACCTTCAAGAAAAGAGCGTACTCCTTTTTAAAAGGCCGGCAACGCATCTGCGATTCCCCTGGTGTTGCAGTTGTTCATGGGCGGCGGTAGTCACTTACCATCAGGTGAGCCGCATGCTCGTTTGCCCACTCTCCTATATAAAAAAAAAAACAATGTCAAAAACCAGAAAAACTGTTTTAAATAGCGGATCTCGCGAGTTTGTGATTCGTTTACGTGACTATAATTTCCAACGTGAATACCAAAATGGCAGACCACTGTTGTCAGTGTCACAAGTGTATGACAGAGTTGCTGAGGCTCTTGGTATTGGAAGAGCTAATGTGACTAGAATCAGCAAAGAAAAATTTGGAGATACCTATATCAACGAAGGAGAATAAGTTATCTACTCCAAATAAAAAGAGAAAGAAACGTTGCCCTATAACTGACATAGACGATTTTGACGCCGCAGCAATTCGTAATGAGATCTACGCATACTACACACGTAACGAGCTGCCAACATTAACAAAATTAGCGTACCTACCATCTTTATCAACAATATTAAAAAAATTGGGTTCTTTTATAAAAAGAGTAACAAAAGAAATATTATCATGGAACGTAACGACATTGCTCTTGCACGCATTGATTTTTTACGAAAAGTGATAGATATTGATAATTAGGATGAAGTAGATTCCTGGATGAGACATGGCTGAATGCAAATCACACGGTTTCTAAAACTTGGACTGATGATAAACCCGAATCGTCTACTAAAGTACCTTAGGGCAAAGGTCAAAGGTTAATAATTTGCCATGCTGGTACCTCGTCTCGATTTGTACCAAATTGATTACTGGAATTCAAGTCTGACAAGACGACGGAGTACCACGAAGAGAAGAATTTTGAAAAATTCAAAGAATGGTTTATAAAACTTCTAAATAATTTAGATGAACACCATGTGGTACTAATGGGCAATGCACCCTATCATTCCGTTCAAAAAATAAGCCTCCGATAGCGAATAACCGGAAGAATGAAATAATTTCGTGGTTGCAAACCAATGGAGTACAAGCCGACGGCACTATGTTGAAAAAATAGCTTTTGCGTTTAGTGGGAATACACAAGCCCCAAACGCCAATATATATTTTGGATAAGATTGCAAAAGAAAAGGGGCATACCGTTATCCACCCGCCACCGTATCATTGCCAGTATAACGCAATAGAATTGATTTGGGTGCAAGTAAAAGGTATTTAGTATTTAAATGAAGTTGATTAATTAGTGCATCACTAATAAAAAAATTTAACTCATTGTTTTCGTTTTAGGTCATGTAGCAAGACACAACACAACCCCACCGTTCACGGCAAATAAAATGTTTTTGCTGAACAATGCATGTGAACATGTAACACCAAATGATTGGAAGAAGGTGGTCAATAAAACGCGAAGAATTTTCACAGAAGATTGGCAACGTGATGTCCGCTTTGATTATTTGTGTGATCAGGAATTAATAATTAATCTCGAAGATTGTTCCAGTGACTCTGATTCTGATGACGATGATTGTTACTTGCACCCTTGTGTCAATAAATTTATTATTGCAATTTTTTTTATTAGCCCAAAATAAGTCCCGATGTTTAAATACTTGGTTAAAATAAGTATTGGGGGCATATTTTTAATAATATTTATGAATACTTTATAGATATATCGATTTAATGTTCCCAGCACTAGTTACATCATAATGGCTGACCTCTATATATACCTAGTCAGGTCATAAATTCTGTTACATGTCTAATATAAAATAATTGAAACAAGTTTATTCATTATGTAACCATTTATATACCAAAATGAACTTAACAAAACATAGATTCTTATGACACTAAAGTTTATTCAAAATGACCTACGTGATTTTGAATACAGGCCTTCAATCTGTGCGGCCAGTCGTCTATCGCAGCACGAACGAGGTCCATGTCAATATCGGCGACTGCCTTAATCAAGGATGTCTTAAGTGACTCCAAATTGGAATGAGGCTTTGAGCATGCCTTTTCCTCCAAGTGTTGCCATATCTTGTAATCTAACGGATTCAAATCTGGACTGGAGGAGCGCCAGTCTTCGTGCCGGATGAAGTCGATTTCACGTGCCGCCAGCCAGTCTTGTGTGCTCTTCGCTCTATGAGCTGGCGCCGAATCTTGTTGGAATACCCAGTGCTTGTTATTGAACATGGTATGAGCAACAGGTTCCACAAGGTTCGTCAGGACTGTATTTTGATACACAACTGCATTCGTTTTTAAACTTTTTTCTCAAAAATGTACCTCTGTTAAGCCCCAATAAGAAACTCCCAACCATACCATGAGCAAGGATGGAAAATGACCTCGTTGGACACGCGGAATACGGTTGCTCGCTTCTTCACTACTGTGTGCGTACACCTTATTATTTTGTTTGGTGTAGCTCTCTTCTACGGTAACAATTTTTTCATCCGAAAAAAGAATTTCCCGATATTTTTTCCCGCGTGCCGCTTCAACAAAGCGCGGCATCTCTTCAGTCTCAGGTCCATTAGACGAGCATTCAAACAATGTCCTGTTTTTCTTCGATATGCCCGAAGTCCTAAGTCTTCATTTAACAGCCTTTTCACCGTGGTTCTGCTTAACCCCATCTGAAGGGCCAACAGTTTCTGCTTACGTTTGGGATTTCTTTGAATTCGCGCCTTCACAGCTTTTATCACTGCTGGAGTCCTAACAGACCGAGGGTGACCACTTCTTGACCTGTCATCTACACTAGAGTCTTCATTGTATCGTTTGATGGTACGATAAACGAATCTTTTGGTTGTATTCAAATTTTTCAGTATGTCAAAAATTTGAATTGGCGCGTAGCCGCAACGATGCAACGCAATAACTGCAAGACGGTCTTCTTTAAGCGTCCACTCCATATTTAAAAATGAGTTAAATGAGTAAAATTCTAAAAAGTATACAGTTTTATTTTCATGGACAATTCGAAATTCGAATTCAATAAACTTTTTTGTGGCCAGCATTCTAAAAGAAAAGTTTTTACTGTGTGACAATACTTATGACCTGACTAGGTACAAGTGCGCTGGACTGGCTGTGTCATACAAAATGCTTATGCCGATTTGAAGCGCCCTCATTGTCCGTACCGGGTACTAAAACTGACATAAAGCCGCGTCTCCGCCAAAGTTTTGTTGTCAACACAACATTTGCCAACAAAACTTGTTTCGATTTTCGGCGCCTACATCAAAGGAATACGCTTGTTGCCAACATTTGTTGCCTCGGTGGAGACGCTTGTTGACAGAAACATTTGTTGACAAAACGTATTGGCAAATGTTGTGTTGACAACAAAACTTTGGTGGAGACGCGCCATAATATGCCAAAGTCTGTTTTATTGTTTAAATCATATATCTGTATTATGAATTTTTAAACTTAACAATGAAATTATTTTATGTGGTTTGATTTTAGTTACATAATAAGAATTATTTTTATTAATAATGAGAGTGTGTGAAATACGTAAAACTTATTAACAAAAGGAAAGTGGGATAATATTTCACAAGTAAGTGAATTTGCAGCTAATACTAAGCAAATTAAAACTATTTGATAATATAGGTACTTATAAATTTGTTACTAATCTTAATATCGTAATTACCAGCATGTATGTCTTTATATTACTGAGTTTTGATGAACAATAAAATTCAATAGGGTTGTTGAGTTCCTTGTCTATAATACTTATCGATGTTCTTTTCTACCCATATCTCTTCATAACTAACTTACCTAGAACTAGCAGCTATAGATACTAAAATTATGGCTAAAAAGCACAAAAATTGTGAATTGGCGTCGAAATAAAACGATTATCTTTGTTCTAAACAATTCACAGACGACTGTTTTATTGAACATGAGAAAGGCACCACTTTAAAAAAGTGTAGTATACCCACCATATTTTCTGGTAGTACCAGTACCAGTAAATATAAAAGTATTAGATTATTATTTGGAATATTTTTTATTTCTTCTCGCCTTATTTTCCCCCAGACTCAAGGGCCATAGCCATATTCAAGTGTAGAAAGGTCGCCTGATCATGACTTTGTGTTTACAAGACGTAAGTTTGTTAAATCTTTATAATTATTATGACCAATTTATTGTATCAAGGGAATAAATTTATACTGGAACTGCAAAATAATTAATGGGTAGTTCTACAAACTAAGGAATTTTTGGCGGCTCAGCTAAAATATGATAAAAAAATTGTTAACAACAATTTTTTTTGGATGGAATTCTATTAATTACATTTGTTTCTAGATGGTCACTAAAAATAATTAAGATTCACAATTCTTTTCTGAACAAAATTACTGTTCAAACTGCCGAATTCTCAGTATCCTGCAGTGTCCCTCGTACAAATTTTAATTCAAAGTGCGTCGTGATACATTTATTTCTACATTAGGGTCTTAAAAGAATCCCAAATGAATAAGTTTACTATTTTTCCTGGCTAGGTAGAACAATTACTATAGTATTTCTTTATAAAAATATTGAATAAATGTTGTTTACATTTTGTCCCCACGATTTTATATCAGTATCCTGTTCGCTGTTGAATTAGCAAATATTCACTAGACTATTTGCCGTGCGTCTTTACCGTTACGCTGAGTCGATAGTACCTACGAAAGAGACAAAGAATGTCATCTATCTATTTGCACCTAGCACGTTGTTTAGTGAGTCGAGTGCGTTCAGCGAGTGAAGTGGTGTCATAATCAGTGGAGTTCACAGAATCCTGGTAAGATTTTTATTTACGAAATAAATAATGCATATGACTAATTTTAGCGTGTTGATATGTAAGATGCTAGCGCGTAGGCCTAGTTTAGGTTTTTTTTTAAGTTATAAATTGGTGTGTTTATTTTAATTTTAGACAGAAATTATCAGGAACCTGGCCTCAGGATCCTGTCCAATTGGTACCCAGGATACTGAGAACCATCCAGGATCCTGAGCAGATCATATTAAAAATATTGTTTCTGTGCAATAATAGTATTTTTTTACACATAAACATTAAACTACAAATAAATAATTTAATAAATAAACTGTACTTACTCTCGTAATTTGTTTATATACAGTTATTTAGTTTTGGTGGTGGTCTAAGTAAAATTATTCTTATAATTGTTTCGAAACGTCGGATTAAAAGTATAAAATAAACAAACATTTAATCGATCTTACAAATATTATATTTGAATATTATATTTTGTTACATAGGAAAAATGGCGCCAAAAAAGAAACAAACAAAAGAAGAAATATTAGAAAAGAAAAGGATAGCTGAAAAAATTAGATATGAAAAAATTAAGAACGACCCTCAGAGATTAGCGGCTGAAAAAGAAAAAAGAAAGCAAAAGTATAAAAAGCTGCGAGAATCTGGCAAAAAAAAACTAGTTTCTGAAATGTCGGCTCGTGAAAAAAGGCAAGCTCGCAGAAGTTGGAGGGAATACTCAGAAAAATCCTACAAAAAGAAAAAGTTACTAACTAATGTGATGAACCACTTTGTTAGAGAAAATACTCCGTCTAGTTTAGATGATGAACCTGTAGGTCCTGAGTTTCGTGATCATGAACAACCTCAGCAAGTAAATTTTGAGATAAATGTTCCTCAAACATTATCGTCGAAGCCAAATCCAAGATTGGAATCAGTACGAGAACGGTCACAGAAGCAGCGTCATAAGAGAAACCAGGAGATAAAACAAAAAAATGCGCTAATAGTAAAATTGAAACAAAAACTTAGCAAATATAAAAAGAGATGCCAGAGATTGAAAAAACAAAAGAAACAATTGGAGCTTACGCCTAAAACCGCAATGACTAAACTTGCTGAAGATCCAGCGACACGGGTAGACGTTGTCAAAAAGGCTTTATTTAGTGATGTGTTGGAAAAGCAAATATCAGATAATATGTCTAATCTGAAGACTCGTCAAGAGAAGAAAGTTGCAAACAAATTACTTTTGGGCCAGATTGAGAATGCAAATAAGGCTTGGAAGTTGAAAAACAAGGTTATAACTTATAAAAAGATGTGGAGTCAAGAAAAGCAAAAAAAGGCTGCAATAAAACAAAAAAGATGCTTAAAAAAGATAGTTCAAACATTTTTGGAAGACGACAAATACAGTAGACTGTGTGCAGGCAAGAAAGAATTTATAAGAAATAAAGCAACTAAACAAAAAGTACAAAGACGCTACAGGTTAGACACATTAAAAAATCTCCATAAAGAATATTTGAAGGCAGGTAATGTCACTATGAGCTACTCCATGTTTGCGAGGCTAACACCCGTCTGGATAGTCGCTCCAAAATTATCAAACAGAGATACATGTTTGTGTACTGTTCACGCAAATTTCCAACATATTGTGACTGCTCTTTATAATGCAAAAATTATAAAAGTTCCAACATATCAAAATCTATTAAACGCAGTTTGCTGTAACAGATTCCATGAACAATGTCTGGAAAGAAAATGTGAAGCTTGCACTAGAAAAAGTGTTCCTATGATCGATTTTAATGCAGACATGCCGATTAGTTACTATCACTGGATAGCATCAAAGGAAATCATAATAGACATAAAAACTAAGAAAGAAAGACAAGTGGTAAAACAAAAAAGGGAAAGTGTCTCCACCACAGCTCAAGAACTTGTTTTGAAATTGAAGACGGATTTGAATACAATTTTTCAGCATGAAAGGAACATTGTTCACCAGTACCAAGTAATATCGGAAAAGAAGAAGTCCTTAACTGAACAAGAAGCCATAGTGCATATGGACTTTTCAGAAAATTTTAGTACGAAATATAACGAAGAAATCCAATCTTTTCATTTTGGGGGATCTCGTACGCAGCTCTCACTTCACACAGTAGTTATGTATTTGAAGGGATCTACAAGATCGTATTGCACTGTATCAACGGATTTGAGTCACAATGTTTATGCTATTTGGGCCCACTTAAAACCAGTACTGGAAGAATTACCATATCAAATAGAAACCATCCATTTTTTGAGCGACGGTCCAGTAACACAATATCGTAACAAAATAATGTTTTTCACGCTAGCATCTAAAATGACATATCTGTGCCCTGGACTTGTAAATTGGACTTGGAATTACCACGAAGCAGGCCATGGTAAAGGAGCACCAGATGGTGTAGGCGCTGTATGTAAAAGAGCTGCCAATGATGTCGTAGCATGTGGAGGTGATGTTACTAATCGCTGCCCAGGTGTGACACTTTTTATCGTCACTAAAAGTGAAATTGAAGATATGGAAAAGCTGAATAAAGAATTTCTAGCGATCAACAGAATTTAATACCTTTTAAGGGGACACTCAAAGTCCATCAAGTACAGGGCAGTGCTTTCATGCCAAGAAAGCTACAATTGAAATCCCTCAGTTGTTTTTGTGATGAGGGTATTATGTGTAAACATAATACCTAATACATACATAAAACATAATACGGTTTACTAGAATATTCTGCAGGATCACGACAAATATTTAAAGACGTCTACGAAAGTGAGACGGAATTAAAAGATCAGCCAGATGATATGAGCGTTGCAAGCGATCTTACTTTGAATTTGGAAAATCCAGAAGTTTTAGCCACCATGCCTGATTTGCAAATTGACCCGACTACTCTCTTCCCAGACCTATCACAGGAGCCGTTAATAGAAAAAGGAAATCAAAGAAAAGTTAAAACCCAAGAAATAAAAGTTGATACTGTCACCGAACACCCAAAAAAGGGAAAAGAAATGATATCAAGGAAAGACAAAGTTAAAAAAGCGGCTAAATACAAAAAACAAGACTCAAGACAGAAAAAGAAATTTAATTCTAGAAAACAAACAGATAAAGAAAATGAATCAAAAAAAGCACAGACAAATAAATACGAGTTCAGTGACTGCGAGTGCCTTATATGTGGTGTTCTCTACATTGAAGATACGTCAGGAAATGACTGGGTCCAGTGTCTAATATGTAATAAATGGGCACAAGATGGATGTATTAAAGGTAAATCTACATTATTTACATGCCCTGGGTGTTTAGCTGATTGTGATTACAAATAATAGTTTAAAAGAATTGAAACGAGACTGTCAAAATTATTATTTTTGTTACTAGATTTAAGTAAATTACTAGATTGAAGTGTCGTTTAGTCACAAATTGTTACAAAAACTTCGTATTGTTACCTTTAAGAGATATTTTATTATTGAGAGAGAGATTATTATTATCCTTATGTTCATTAATCATTTGATGATTAATGTTCCTGTTGAAGGCTGTTCTAGGTATAGAATTAGTATTTAAGCTACTTTTTGTTATTATAAAAGATACTTTGATTATTACAAAATAATGTTAAGAGGCAAATTTTTAAAATTTGTGACATAAATTATTGATCTCGATTGATTTTTGTTGTTTTCCTCAGCTTCCTGGTGACACTTTCAGTTTCCTGTGGCTCGATTTTTTTTAAATGGCTATAAATCAAAAAATATTAAATATTTTGACTGTTCCATTTAGGATAAGCTAAAAGACACTGTACTCTATTTATTAGACTGAATTCCGCCACCAGAATGTATAAAAAATGTCGGGCCGAAATCAGGCTCGAATTCTTCCTTAGTTTGTAGAACTACCCTAATGTACTTAGTGAGTTTGCGTGAGTTTAGGTGAGAACAATCTCCACCCTGAACGGGTTCCCGCCGTGTCGTGTCGTGTCGGGGAGTAGGCATGGCTTGGTAACCCAGAAAATCCCGCAAATAAAGTTTTATATGGGCGTCCACCGTAGCGCTTTTAGTATACACTCATAAACGCCTGTTTTCGTTTTTTAGTATGAAGTTGGCGTTCGTAACTCGTGGTAGCGAGTAACTGTGGTGAAGTAGTAACTTCACTCTTTTGCGTTACTCATTAAAGAAAATTAAAGAGATATAAACAGAATTATGAGGATGAGGAAGCTCAAGGTCGCTCAGCGAGCTATGGAGAGGGCTATGCTCGGAGTTGCTCTGCGTGATAAACTCAGAAATGAGGATATCCGCAGTAGAACTAGAGTGACCGACATAGCCCAACGGATTAGTAAGCTGAAGTGGCAATGGGCTGGCCATATAGCTCGAAGAACCGACAACCGATGGGGAAGAAAGGTTCTCGAGTGGCAGCCTCGTACCGGCAGGCGAAGTGTAGGGCGTCCCCCCACTAGATGGAGTGACGACCTGGTAAGATATGCAGGAAGTCGATGGATGCAGGTGGCTCAGGACCGTGCTTTGTGGCATTCTTTGGGGGAGGCCTATGTTCAGCAGTGGACTTGTGAAGGGCTGTAATGATGATGATGAAACAGAATTACTAAGAAAGATTGCTGATGCAACTATTAGAACAATGTAGGTACTTACGCGTTGTATAGGTACGTCTGTAGTATCAATGGCTAAAATTCGTAATTGCCTTAATTCTCCTGTTTGAAAGAAATAGATTTTTATTTGTTTCCAAATGCGAAAAAGACAAAGTCGCAGAAAACCTATATTTTGAAGTCATAGAACTAACGGCACATGAACCAGCAACCTTTAAATTCGCATTCGAATATTTTTCGGTTCAATTCGGTTGCCAGTAGTCTAAAATATCAATATCTAGATATCTACACATAAGTATAAATAAAATTGAAATGTCTGCTTGCAATATAGAGATAACTGGATTATTTTATGCTAAGGGAGTTATTTGCATACCACGAAGACATTAGAATAACCATTTTTAATTTTTTGGTCTGTCTGTCTGTCTGTCCGGGCTTAACTTCGAAATGGCTGAACTGATTACGATGAAACTTCAATAGCAGATAGAAAGTAATGCCAGCAGTGATCGAGGCTAGATTTTATCACAAAATCTGGAAGTGTTTTTTAGAAATTGAGAAGTTAACAAAATAGATGTCATTTCTTCTAGTCTTTAAAAAAATCTAAATGACGCAATATTGATCCTACCGAAGAAGCAAAGTTGGGTCGCTATCATAAAAAACAACGCACTGTAAGTATTGTTATATATAAAAGCCATGCAGGTGCCACTCAATCACATTTATCGTGATTGGCAGCAGTTAAATTAAAATAACACAACATTATATCCGTGAGTGTTATTTTAGATTTCACGTATAAACGTGGGGCGAGGCGTTGTAGTATGAGGCCTGCAGCAGTGGGCGTATGGCGACGGCCAATGGCGGGCTCGCAATTGCCGCCGAATGTTAACCTTTACAGCCAGTTGCATTAATTGAAGTGATTAACATATTTTTAATATAACTGTGGCAAACGCTACTATGATGTATTTATTATTTATATACACGCATTGAATTCGTTAATAAAACAAATCTTGAACTTTTAAATGTTTAGTGTCAAATTATGTAACCTGTCTTATTACAGTAATATTTCTATGAAAATGGGTCTCTGAGGTCAAAAACCAAAACGTTGACTTAGGGAGACAGTTTAGAGATGGTAAAAACGAAAGTTGACAAAACAAATTAAATCATCTTGTACGGTATCGATTAACAGCTCTTTAGAGGCTCAGGAGGGCTAGAACCCAGAGCCGTAAAGCCAGTTTATAAAAAAAACAGCTCTTTAGACTTTAAAGCATCATTTTAAAATAGTAGAATTCATAATTTTGTGTTTAAATTTATTTCAGATGTTTACGATTAAATGTTTGAACACTAATTGTGCAGGTAGCTGATTAGTAGGGCCTGAGTTACCCACAGGCAAACTACGCTGGAGCCTATAAGGCGCATGATTTAAGGGGGCGTTGAGCTTGCATTTGCAAGTATCACATAAGTAGGGTACAGAATAAAATTTGTTATAATATTCTCAATAAATAACAGATTAAGTGCCGCAAGTATTTGACGTGTTGCTCTCACCTTATTTTTGGTACAAAACAAATACCTAAATAGATTGTAAAAATAAATCTGAATTATTTGGTAGGTAGGACCTAACCTTTCGTCTTTCGTTGACTGACTGGACGTGACTCAAAGATTTTCGAAATGTTCTGCCCAACGCTTTACATCCCGCTTATTTATTTATTTTATTCTTTATTGCACCAAAATTTGTATAAAAGGTGAGCTTAATGCTATATGGCATTCTCTGCCAGCTAACCTTGGGTAGAACAGAGAGAGAGAGAGAGAGAGAGAGAGAGAGAGAGAGAGAGAGAGAGAGAGAGAGAGAGTTATGGACAGTTAAGTAGTTATGACCAAATTTAATTTAAATAAGGTGCCTGCGCATAATAAAGCCTGTCGGCTAATAAGGCCTAAGTAACAAAAATCGTATTTATAATAACCCCACTCGCTTATCTAAGGAGATAATAACAGACTGCTATTGCCCTGCGCCCCCTTTTCCCAAAAGAGGGTCGCTTCCGATTCGGCAGAAAGGCCTAATAAGCCAATGCCAGTCCCACAGGTGGTTTTTAGTGGGTACACTTAAGATGGTTAGGTTAGTCACAGTGAGTCCCACATAACCACGACAGCCGGTCTGTCGTGGTATGCATAAAGCATTTATGACCTCCTCGTGTTAACGGGGTAGCCCTTTTCATTTGCTTATGGGCTCAAAAAAACTCCCATTGCACGATAATGTCTCTACAAGTTTGCAGAGACGCGCTACCCCGCGTCCTGCCACCACAGTTGCATTATCTATCATAAGATTTTTTCTTTTTTTTTTCTTTTTTAAGTAAAACGTATCATAAGATACGACCGCACTGAACCAATAACAAAAATAAGTCCAAATAAATCGTAGGTGTGTTTTGTAATATTACACTTAGTTAATCTAAAATCGATTTGAGTAACGTATCGTGATTAATTTTTTTTAATTTGGTTTTTCTTAAATACTTGGTCGGTGGTTATTAAGGCCTTATTGTAGCATTTCACCATAGGCCTTATTATACTCCTTTTTCTTGTGTAGTTTTTTGTTTTATTATGAATTTTTTATCACTTTTAAAATGTTATAAATGCAAATGAATCGTACGCTTTTATTCTTAAACTAATATCGTAGTCAGAAAAAGGCCTGAATGCAGCTGTCCAAATCGTGCAAAGACAAAGTGTGTCGAAGAATTAAGACTTTGACATTAGAAGCTCTTTTCTTTCTTTTTTTTTTTAAAAAAAACGTAACCTCTACACTAGGATTTTCTCCTGTATTGTGGGGTAAAGTTTACAAACATAAATTGCACAAGGACAAATATCCAGACCCGGAACAATTATTTGTAGGCCATACAAATACTTGTTCCGTGCGGGATTCGAACCCGCGGCCCTTAGCGCTGCAACTCAATTGCTAAGCCACTGCGCCACGGAGCCGTCAAGCTCTTAAATTATGTGTAAATTATTGGTCCTGCGCCTAAGCTCTCTCGGACCGTCTCGGGTTGCGATTTGATGAGTGTGAGGGAATAGAGAGTGCACTTGTGCTTGGGCATAAATTCGGATACTATAATTCTGTACTGTGCTGTTGGGCTAGTCTCCATTGAGATTGGCCACTGTGATAAAATTTGATTGGAAGGATACTCAACCCAACAATAAACTTATTGTGTATGTACCTATGTAAATATGCGTATTTATTTATATTATGTGTGTAACATATAAATAAATACACACATTTATACATTTATGTCTCAATATATATATCGTTGCTATTGTATTACTATTGTGTCTGAAAATCGGACAGTGAAAGTGTTGTAAACAATGATTGAAAAACAAAGATTTATATATACATATAAACACTGACCTCTAGGTATATATACAAATACGCTGGACTGGTTATGACATACAAAATACTTATGCCGATTTGAAGCACCCTCATTGTCCGTACCGGAACTAAAATTGACATAATATGCCAGTATGTTGTATTATTTAAATCGTATCTCTATATTTTGAATTTTTAAACTAAAAAATGAAAGTATTTTATTTTATTTTAGTTACCTAATGAATATTATTTTTAGTAATAATGAGAGTGTGCGTAATATGTAAAACTCTTTACCAAAAGGAAAATGGGATAACATTCCACAAGTAAGTGAATTTGTAGCTAATATTAAACAAATTAAAACTATTTGATAATACATCTACTTAAAAATTTGTTACTAATCT